GGTGCTAACTTTGAACTGATATTTGAGTTGGCATGTGATTCTACATTGTTTATTATAGGTAATTCACATTTCGTTCTGTCTAAATCATTTCAGTTTTTTCCTAGATCTTTCCAGATATTTGAGTTGATTTTGGCAAATCAGTCTATATGCACCACATTTAAATACGGATTGAGCATTTCGTTTTTCTTCATTAATCAATCATGAAATTACGCCCCCTTGGTATTTTATTTGCTGTAGTTGTCCATTTATGATTCTTTTCTTTATAGTGGATATTAGGATATTAACAGTAAAGGTCAAAATGATTACTCATTAAATATTTAGTTGAAAGAATAAAGTCTGGTGAAAATTCAACTAATATTTTTGAATGTTCATTTAATTTATTTATAAAAATATCAGGTTTAATTAGAAATGACATCAGAAAATAAAATTACAGATGAATTTGGTTTGATATTAAGTAGGAAAAAAGTTTTAAGTCTATTCTTTTTTAATTATGACCGATTAGCTAGGGGTGTCCACACTGTGGCTCGAATCTACAACCCTCAGATTAAAAATCCAACGCTCTACCGACTGAGCTAAAGGGTTAACCCACTAACTAGTGCTAGTAGGAGCGTGGCCTCACTATATACAACGCATATCCACTTCCAACTCTGTTACATAATCATGTATTTACACCTGTCTTTTGATAGTAGAAATTTAAGAAAAGTTAGAAAATATAAAAAAATATATATATATAGCGAAAAAAAAATGTATCGACACATTTTTCATAATAATTTTCCCTATATATATTGAATAAAAATGTGTATTCGTAATGTTGACAGTAATTGGATAATTAAATTTTCTAACATAACCTTAATTTTTTTTTTTTAATTTCATGATGGTTAACAAAAAGGACCTATTTACGTCCCTGGTATCAAAATAATTGTTTTTGTTACATGAGATTTATATTTTGTTCATGTATTTCCCTCACTTTTGACGAAAATGCGATGAAAAATAAATTCTTTGTTGTGTAAAGTACCTTGCCGATTGTATGATAATTGTCCGTGGACATGACACCTGCTGACATTCGTATTCGCCAATGCACACTGTTTATTTAACCCTGTTACCTGTTGTTAATAAATCCAGGAGAGAGTCATATTTCTAACTCCGACGTTCTCGTAAAATTAAGAAATAACATTTTGTTGTTCAGCATTGTACGGACATGGATCATTTTCATAATGAGGATTTTTTTCATTGTCTGAGATGTATTTTAAAATCAAAACCCTATCGAAGCAGAAGATAGTGATATTAAGCGTTATGTGACGGGACTAGAAAGTATAGCGTCTTAAACTGATTTTCGTAAAAATAAGTAATTAATATGTTATTTCTTTTCCTTTGTTCTTTTACCCAGTCGCAGAAATGGTGATAATTATAATTATTCAGCAAGATGGTTTAAAGACAAGAACATTCAATGCTGCGTATAAAGGAGCAATGTAAAAGATTCTTAAAAATAATTATTAAAGGAGAGGACTCAAATTCATATGATTCCTAGCGCTTTCAGAAAGTGGGCAAAGGAAGAAATATTCAACATTTGATTTTAAAATAAGTTGACTAATGAATAAATTCATTTGGTACGTGTTTATTGTTTTTATAACATGGGTTTTATTTCGAAGCAAATGTCCTCATAAAACTAGTCGGCTAAAAGAGCCCAGTGCAGTATGTATAGGCTTCTGAACCAAAAATGCATGCCGTGTTAAATACGTGTTTTCTGGTCTTGCTAGAAGCCGCATGGTGTCCTAGGAATCCTTAATGTTTGGATTAAATTCAATTTGTCAAGACAAAAGGACAAATACATTTTGTTTTTGCTCACACTGAATAAACTGGACAGGCTCAATTATTTAAGAAAAATGTCTCAAATGAAGTGTCAGGCTTAACAAAACTAATTAAATGAAGAAAATGTTGATAGAAATGACATATGTGCAGACAAATATTTACATGCTTTATTCGTTCCTTGAATCTAGTCATGGTTGAACAATATGTGAAGTTAAAAAAAATCGTTTTAAAAAATGCTTGAACAAGTTTAAATTGCTAAGCATGAAATCAACCGCAAAGAATGAAACATTTTGAATCATGTTTTTTGCAAGAAAAAGTCCAAAAAGCACAAAATTCTACAAAGCAGAAAAAGTATACATATTTTTATTTCCAAACTGTATATATGTACAGAGCTATAAATAAAATTACACAAATTGCAAGATACACAAAAGTGGCACATACTATACCAGTACCCTAAATTAAGTGTATTTTAAACAAAACAGTCAATGAATTGATAGGACAATCAGTGATAAATTATTATAATAAATCGGATCTCCACATAAAAAAAATAATGTGTCATTTGTAAAAAAATAAAAAAATAAAAATAATGTGTCATTTGAAGTTGTATCATATTCAAAAGATAAAAATTTACTTGATATTCCAACTTTTCCCCCAATTTTTATTTATCAATTTTGATATTGTAATTATTATCCGGAAACTCAAAACGATTTGCATTCATTTATAACACACTCGCATGTCAAGGTTTTCCTCTTGTGAATCCTGTTTTTTAAAATCATTCATTGATTAATATTTGGTGAGAAAAAATTGAATAAAATTTAACATAACAACGATTAATTCTTAAAATAAAGCAAGTTTAAGATAAAGTTTACTCATGATTTCAACATGAAATATGAAAATAACGAACAGTATTCAATCTCGAAAGTCCAATGAAAAGATACAAATTTGGACCAGAGCAAACAAGGACCTCAAAATTTAGAGGTGGGATCAGTTGCCATGGGGGAGTGAGCATCCCCTGCAAACCGGTCACATCTGCCGTTTGCTGCTTGTCATGATCGGGACCCCCCCCCCCTTCCGGAAAAATTCGTACACAGGTCAGTGTATAATTAATGGTCTAACAATTAATATGGGAAACGTCAGTCAGCATTTGACTCAATGATAGGTTGTATATGCTGACAAGGTCATTGTATCGACCATAAAACTTAAGAAATGATGCCTTTAAAGTTCAAACAAGACTGTTGATATCCTTGTTTCATCAAATTGTTTGTCAGTAGCTTGCCTCGATTTAGAAATTGTTTATACGTAGAGCCTGCTCCTGCATATCGAATCAACTGAGAGAGATAAACCCCATATGTAGGTGATAAGGGTATATTGCTACATAAGTAAGGGAAGTTGACGATTGAAAATGTTGAAATCATAACGTTTAAATAAAGCTTTGTTGTTAAGTTACCATTAACGTTTTTTTCTAGCAAAATATCTAAATATGAAACAAATGGGTCAGAACCTGTGTTATCTTTTATTTCAAGCTCACTGGGTTATATCGAGCCGACATACCGACTATTGTTAAATGATAATACGCATAGGCGTCGGAACGGGGGGGGGGGGAGTGAGGGGGGCTTAGCCCCCCCCCCACTTTTTGCAAAAATAGACAAGCATTGAACATTGGGACGTAGGATTAGCCCCCCACCCCCTACTTTCAAGAGGCACAGGTTGCAGTGCAGTCAAAGAAGGGTAAGTGTTGGGGTTTGGAAAAAAAAAATGAAAAAAAATTCCTTTTTTTCCTTTCTTGTCAAGTTTTTTCAGGTTCAAATTTTTTCTCTTTCAATTAGACCCCACTTTTAATTTGCTTCTGACGCCAATGATACGTTGTCGATATATCGAAATGTCGGGTTGAAGGCCACCTCAAGTTTTTTTCTTTTTCTCATGTAGAAGTTTTTGTATAAATTCTGCTTCATACGAATACAACAATAGGTCCGCTAATAACGGGGCGCAATTGGTACCCATGGGAATTCCAACAGATTGTTGGAAGACCTGATCTCCAAAAACTACATAGTTATTGTCAATCAGAAACTCAAGCATCTTTTTAATATCAATTTCAGAGTACTTGTATGTACAATGATAATGCTTTTAACAACAAAAAAATTGCAATTAACCTATGACAAGGTAAGCATACGAGCTTACGAGCTCCGTTTTTAATGAAAAAAGCAACTGTCTATCATGTCAAAAAGCCTGGACTTCAATTTATCGAAGGGAATGGTTGTATAAAGTGTTGAAAAGTCGTACATTTTGATGTTATTGATTTAAGTAAAATTTTGTGATTTCAAATTTTTATAAAAGTTCCTTGGAGTTTTAAGTATCCACATCTGATTTACACAATTTATCGAATATACTGTTGTACAGTAATCCTGAAACTTCTCCTTCATTAGATCAAATATTTAAATCAGGAGTAAAGAAAGAGGCTTGGTAGAACATTTACTGGAACCCGCTATGTATCTTTGTTTATAAGAATTTTATAAAGTTAAGGGATTCAGTAAAGGTATGGTAATCCAAATTCATTTTGATTGTTGGGAATATTAAAAATATCTAAAACGGACATATGATTATCATTAAGGAGTTATTTTCCGAACCAATAAAACATGTTTCCTACCCAATGAGCACTTTCTAACACAACAAATTCATCGGCAGCTCCAGTGGCCGATAATAATTGTCATTTGCAAATCCGTACATTAAAGAACATTAAAACTTACAATGTATATCATGAAGATACTAGAACGATCTTTTAACGTAACAGATCTATTCAATGGATATAGAACCGTTCTAGGAGGCTTTAAAAATTATTAGAAGTGCATAATGATAGATGATTGCACGTTTAATTTGCAATTTCATTAAACGATCTTAATTAATTAATTAGGGTTGTACAAAAAAGTGAACAATAATGTTTATTATATAATATTATATATTATATTATATTTATTATATAATATTATATACTGATCACGGTCGATCGACGTATGTGATATTACAATTACCTAAATTTCAATCTGAGCAAACAATTAGAACAACAGGGAATGTTATTGCATGCAATAGTCATGAGTTGTTCGTCAGTGTTTTTAAACAAGCAATGCAATCTTCGTATATCAGCATATCAAAATATTTTGTTCACAGAATTTTAATTTCAATTTTAGAAAAAGGAATATTTTCTACATTTGAGAGTTTGCAGATGAGCAGCTTACAATGTTTGTCCTCTGCAAACCGTATTCAATTGCACGGCTTAGGTATGTATTGTCAGGTTTTTTATGATCTTTTAAACGAGGGAACACCCTGTAACGAAGACAATTACAGATAAATGAATACCCGATTTTAATTCAGAGTTTTACAAAGTTGGGGAGAAGACACCTCAGCGGCTAATCGTGGGTTATATGCGAGGGGGGTCAACTCTGACAGCAGACATTGTTCGTCAGACAGAAGGGGACTTTTATATGTTTGAGCCTTTGCATGGCATTTCACAACGTTGGAACAAAACAATACAATTCTTAAACGGAACTAAACGGTAATATATTTATGAATACCAAATATAAGAAGTATACAAATCACGCTTTTTTTTTATACACTTATACATGTTAATTTAATAAAAATGTGAATTTGCAAACAAAATCTGTCTCTTTTGTCATTATTTATTCAAATAAATGAAACGCATAATATAAGGAAAAAATTGCGAAAATTTTTCACTTATCTTTTTTTTCAAATGCTAATAATATTTATTTTAGATCGTGTTTGCTATCTTTTATTTTACAGAACTATTTTTCGAGATGAACGTGATACAATTTATCCGGAATTGCTTTATCACTGGTTTACCTGCAATTTTGATCAAATTGACCTAGCTGCCCTCACAAACCCATTCATTTCAATACACACACCAGAGCTTACAGAGTATTACAATTGTACAGTATTGAAGTTGAATGAATCCAAAAGTGTTATTGATAGCGTGAAAATGTGTGTTAGTTTATTGTACACAAGATGCATTACAGCACGGACACGAACAATTAAAACCATTAGAATGTCTATGTTTATGGCGGGAAAACTTTTAAAATGGCTACCGAATCTGAGAATTATTCATTTAGTCCGCGATCCTCGTGGGATACTCAACTCGCAGTTTGAACAACACGTCACTGAAGAAAAAAGGATTTTCACGACTGTTAAAAAAGTGTGTAATACTATATCTTCAGACCTGTCACACATTAAGGAATTAGAACTGTGTCACAAAAGCAGGATAATGAGAATTATTTATGAAAACCTTTGTCAATATCCACTAAAAGTTGTGCCAAAAATATACAAGTTTTTGAACATGGAGTATCCAAAAAAGGTAGAAATATTTGTCAAAAGGATTCTGAATGGAACAGTTAAGAAATGTCACTACTGCACAGACCGTGGGGATGCTCTAGGAAACGCTTATAGATGGATCCACGTCATTGAAGAAAAAACTTTAATAATTATTGATCTCTATTGCTCATTTCTCTTTCCATCATTAGGATATAAGCTTTTGGATTATGATAGATTAAATTCAACTTTGGTTTCTTGGATGCCTACATGATAAAAGAACTCGAATAAAATTTACACAAGCGTAGAAGTTTCTTATTTTATGTTTTTGCTCTGTAGAGCTCTTGATTTTTTTCAGATGATTTGAGGTGATTTGTCCCATGATCAATATTTTGTTAAATGCTTTCAAGTAGAAATTATACAAGATAAATTCTAGAAAAAATTCAAATGAACTTTATTTTTTTTGGTACAAAAATATCTGCATTTTCAAACCAAAGTAAATTGACGTATAGCATTGATGTTTTCAAAATGTTCACGTATAATTTGTTTCAATTTCAAGAAGCCAAAACCCCACTTTCTCGTTTTTGTTGTTCCTGTATATATATGTGTGTGTGTGTGTGTAGGTGTGTGTGTGTGTGTGTGTGTGTTTTTATTGCGGTTTTGATAATTTATCAAACTTAAATTTCTTACGGTGGCGAATGGTTAGAACGTCTGTTCTAGAGTCGCGGAGTAAGGAGCTGATAAACCGAGTTCCCGTGTCACAGTAGGTGTTGGCACGAAAAAGATAACTCAGTACTCGATGGCTCTAAGTTTCGAGTATTAGTATAAATTTGCAGGTCTCCACCGAGAAGTGGTGGCGTCTTCATAAGTGTGAAAAATTCTCTAGAGGGACTTAAACAATCCACAAACAAACATAACAAATTTCTTTAAAAAGTCTAAATTTCCCGAGAAATGTTTAGAATGCTTCCTAAACATACCGGCATATTCCCTCACTAAACTTTAAAGGATGGGGTCCTTATAACTTTTCCTGTTTGTGTGTCTATATCCCTTTTTAATAAACTTTGCTTCAGATATGCAAAGTGGCCAGAGAAAGAAGGCTACAGATATTAGAATGAAAAACACGAAGATAACGAACGTTGATCGAACTACTTAAATAACCTAAATTAGTAATATTTTTAACAATATCTTGGAAACAATTGCAAGCAGTTGTTAAAATAATCTGATACTTGTAAATGAGATCTCAGATGACCTGGGGTAGAATCTTCTTGTATTTTGAAAAACAGTCAAAGGTAGAAAATGGGTTTAAAATTTGATTTAATGGTCTACTTTACTTTCTTAGGCCAGTATTCTTTTTTAATTTTTAGGTTTACGAACACCAGAATTATATATTCTCGTAGGAGGAGGAAATACAATACATTTTGTACTAGATTTTTGCTTCTTTTTCGATGCTCACCTAACAGGTTCCTTGCCACTGGCCATACAATGGTTACAAATAGGACTCAAAATAGAACCTTAAATTGTACATTTCATGATCTGCCATAATGATATATTTGTCAAAATACAAGATTAAATAGATTAATTTTCTTCACTCTTTCAATATCTTCAATTTTTTAAGAAAATGTGTTGAATAAATGTGTAAAAAAAAAAATGTTCTAATACTATACACAATCGAGGCCTTAAACATCGGAAAGAAAAACGTAACAGTTCCTTTTTTCTCAATTTTATTTTATTATTTTTTGTTGTTGAAAATTCAAAAACTTGAGCAGCGGGTTTGTAAAGTTAAAAATAAAAAAATCGTTGGCCTTACATGTTTAACATAAACAACAACAACGAAAACAACGAAAACCCTGTTAGATTATCACCTAAATGTGTTAGAATTTATCAATAAATTAAAAACTAGAAAGTCAGTTTAACCATTTTCTTTCGTCACATAAGCTTCACCTACTAAATAAGTTATGCTGTAATGGTAGATGGAGAAATATTAAGGTAAAAGAAATCGGCTATATTTTTTGTCAATTATTATTATTATTATTATTATTATTACTTTGAAATTACATTTTAAGAAGATTTTATTTTACGTCAATTGGGATTCGCCTCTTTGCAAAGCTTTTGAAAATATAGATGCTAGTGTCATAATCTGCAGGAGACTTTTTCAAGTCCTTATGAAAAAAAAAAAATGTTTATTTTATAAACGATAGGGATTTTTATTCAGGAACAGAGAATTTGGTCTACCTTTTCAACAGGGTATATCATTGCTGAATTGTACTCCTTCTTTGACTTAAAGTTTAGCAATTTCAGACATTGCATACGAAATAACCATAAAATGCTCAATAATTAGAGTTGTCTAACATTAAAATAATCAATACTTTACCTTTGAATTTTTTTGATCCGGCATTTGGGTTTCATTTGTTACCAAGCAAAAATCATGTTTTCTTTACCCTATTTGTTCCGTATGAGAGTTTTAAAAGGTAGACAATGTCACATTTCCATAATAAAAAAAAACTTTCTAAAGGTTAATGGAATTCCTTGCTTTATAATAAAGCTCATAGCTGGAACATCAAATTCAAAGTCAACATATTACCTGTGCCCTTGGTAAAATACGGAAGTTTCCTCTGCGACACACCCTCTACTTACTTTAAAATTATAATTTTTTTAAATATAAAAGAACTGGTTTATTTCATCAGCTCAATGCCAATGCAATAATGACTAAATGATTTTGTACATATGAAGAAGCAGTTTATTTGTGATGTTTTGGAGAGCAGGTGCCTTCTCAAAAAGGCGTCGTTTTTTCTCGATGTGTGACATTGATTTTCTTGCTTTTTGGATATATTTCTTTCTACTACATATACGAAAGAATTATAGGTATTTATCATCATTTATTTCATCAATTCTTCACACATAAAGAATGTATACATGTATATGATCCTTCATTTTTGTTTATCCATCATGAAAAATACATTTGATAAAGAAATAGGAACCCAGGGTTCTCCATGGGCTGTTTAACCTGGCGGCCCCGCCACAGTTAAATCCTTAGCGCCACTGTTAAAAAATCAGCGCCATACTTCCGCCACAGTTAAAATATTAGCGCCACAGTAAGATCGTCGTCGTCAGTAAGATAAATATATAAATTTATAAACCAAATGAACCTCCAAATTATGTACCGTTTTTCAGTTTCTAATGCGAAACCTTTAATTACTCTAATAAGGGCCCATTGTTTGGCTTGCACAAACAATTATCTTCTAGACCTCGCTGGACACTTGAATGAAAAGAGACAAGCCATTTTTCCACACATTTCACGTAAATTGCAAATGAAATTTTTAATATTATTTCATTCATGTTTTAAAATAGTTCTATAGATAACCACGTCTCCAAAATTATATTGGCAGTCCGTGTCAAGCATCGCACGTATATCGTAATCATGTATTTTTGCAATGTTGATAGATCCACCAAAATATAATTTCATGACTCTAAACTGCTTAAGTATTTTTTTTAATTCACAAATTTTCCCCGTCCTCTAATGAACACTATATAATTTACCTGTTGTATTTTTTTTAAAGAAGGTTTAATGCTTAAAACTTATTGTTAATGGTACTTTTATTTTCAGATTTTATAAGCTAATATTTGTTTATTTATAAGTATGTGTGTGTTTGGGAGGGGGAGGGTCTTTTTCACAGTATGCATATATTTTGGGAATATCCTAATTTTTGTTTTACCCTATGTTTAGTAATCGGTTTAATTACTTTTATTATTAAATTTAATAATCAATTTGCCAAGAAATAAATATCATTTGTATATTAAACTATTGATTCATAGGGACAGTGTGTTTTTCAACTTATTTCGTGCTTCCCTCGCGAATTCGGTCGCGAAATAAATGCGAATATTAGCACTTCGCGTAAGTCTTGCGCCACAGTTAAATTTGAAATGATGGAGAACCCTGAGGAACCTATGTTATATATATATATAAACACTCATAAGGCGTTCTGTTGACCTATTTGTACGCTGTTGAGAACTCCTTCTAGCAAATGGGAATTCCTTTAATTTCCTTAAAAAGTATTTGATAAACATGCCCTCCTTTAGAACATTAATTAAATCAGATGTCTACAATTCATTTTAATCCGCTAAATACCGCTTAGTACCTCATGAAATGATTTTTTTCCTTAATTTTAAAATAAACTTTATATACGTCATCTTTTACTACTAAACATATAATCTACTCCTTAAGAGGGGGCTCCTTAAAAGATTTCTTCGAAGTGGCTTAAAATGGACCATGGGTGCCTTAAAATTGCATTGGACGTCACAAAAAAAGACACATTTCGGGAATCGAACTCTTGACCATGTGCTCAGCAGGCGAGCATCTTAATCAGTCGGAAACACGCCTCCTATTTATATGTTGCATTATTTGTCACCTATCAGTTAAAGCGAAATGGGTGGAAATGCTTCCTCTCCGGATCCCTCTCTTCATTTGCAGCTATGTCCTCTTTTTTATCAGACAGTTTATTTCCACCATTAGATAGAGGATTTTTTTCGTTGACGCTTGCAGATTTTGAACTAAGTTTTGGTTCGCAACTTTTATTTATGATTTACAGAGCAAGTTTGCATTTTGTTCCGCTTTCCTCTTTTTCACTAAACATTTGGTATTAGAAACTTTAAGTACATCTATTTATCCCTTAAAATTTATTTATTTAGTCAAACCTCGTTACTTCAAATTTTACGTGACTAAATAAAACTTAGAAATATTCGAGGATGCGATCTGATAAAGTGTTTAACTTACATGAAAATAATACTTTTTGCAGTTTGTTGAAGTGTTGAAGATAAAACATTTTTGATGAGTAAGTTTGTCTCTTTTAGACAGACATTTAAAAATGGCTTTACAAAGTGGAGGATGGGGAGGATGCGAGACAGGAAGAAAGCAAGAAGCGACATAAACAAAACTTTGAAGCCAAACAAGTGTGTAGAAATTGGCCAAACTTTATAAACCTATTCTTGGGTAGGATGGGTGGGTGGGGGTATAATGATTCTCTACTCTATTTTTTCTTTTTCACAAAGTTTATGCCAGGTACATTAACTGTTGACGGTTTGATCATACTGTGAAAAAAAAAGTGGAAGAGGGATGAGGTGGGGGAGTCACTGAACATTTTCATCCTCATTTTCTTTTCTCTCAGTCCCATCCTCTAGATCAGGCTCTGTATGTAAGGCGTGTTATATTTCAAACGATACCGAATGTATCGTTTCCACAACAAGGCACATTATTATTCATTGGTGACATCTCGGAAC